TTGTTTGTTTTTATTTACTGCTATTTTTCACAATTCAATTTATGTGAATGTTTCTCAAGTATGCTGAGTTACGCTGGGCAAAACGTTGTGCCTTATGGTTAGCTAGTACTTTAACACAGACCTCAGCCTTTCCGGGAAGGTGTGTTAACCACTACACCCACAGGCCACTTTTTATTTTACCTCTGTTCTGTTTAGAACCTGAACAGGGTCTCATCCAGTAAGGGGGGGCATGTGGTGCGACAGTTCATATTGCATGAAGTAATCCACTTTTTTCAGGGGAGGGAAGCTCCGGGGTGGGTGTAAAAGTTTAAGCGAAATGGTTCACGCACCCCGGGGATTCCCTCCCCTTGCAAAAATTGGAATTTCTGTAGCCGGCAAGAACTGTCACACCACATGCCCCCCATTGCTTGCACCCATAGCAACTATTTATGCTGTATGTTGAAGTGTTTGTACCTTTGGAAATAATGCAATAACCAATGAAATATGACGTCGTAAGTGATACTTAAAGGCACAGTCCGCGATAACATGATGTGTGCAGCGGGTTTCAAATATGAAACAGTACGCGCTGCGTGAACCGACGATGAATAAAGACGCTCAGAAAACTGTCAAGAAAGACAAACTGTCAAAAGGACACCCCCCCCCTTAGAGCGCTGCTGAATTCGCGACTCATTACCAATTACCTCAAAACTCTGAACTGCATTTTGTAGGAGAAACTCAATAGGAAGTTATCGCGGCAGTCCTGAGAACCCTTCAAATCCCATGCGATCAAGAAAATTCAAATTTTTCTTTATATCGTATTGCATACAAATATTGAGCATCATCATCATGAAGCTATAACCTACAACCCTATCGAAGCACATAAAGATCTTTCAATAGCGAATTAAAAATCGTGAACAAATCTATCACCAACAGGGTTATTCATAGAGTACATTTCTTTGGGTTCCTTTCAAAATAGATTTCTTATATGTTATATACAATTTTTAAACATTCAATTGCATCAACAATATTTCACAAACAAATGCATCGTTCGCCTCATTCGAAAGCAATCGCAAAATAGCCTCACCTCACGCGTTATTAATATTCCACCAGTTACTTAATTATAATAAAAAGAGAAAATATTGCACCAAGCAACACAAATTCATACCCATACATTAAAGTGTCATGAGAAAATTCTTAAAATCCTAGTAAATAAGCGAAAATATACAACAAGCTCTACACATTAAGAAGCAGCCTTTCCGAAAGCGTTGAAATCCATCGTGAGCTTTATTGTTGGTTGTTGCGATAGGTGAGCGTTCTGCAACGTTATTCTGTTATCTGAGATATTCAAAACCCTGGACACGGACCAAGAAGGCGCCGTGCGGCGAGAAGGCAGAGACGCAGATGGTCAGCGGACGAGTCGCACCGCCTACTGCAGGGATTTCGCGTCAATTTAGATCCCACATCACACAGCACGCGCTGCGACTCGTCCGCTGATCCGTCTGCGTCTCTGCCTTCTTGCCGCGCGACGGGCCTTCTGTCGGCTGCTCCGAATCTCTGAACAAGGCAGGAGGTGTCGTACTGCACCGCGTGCACGGCAACGCGACAGCTTATTTTTCCTGCGCGGAGAGGATGAGCCGGTTGCGCGCCACGCAGGAGGTGATGCGGATCGCGCCTTTAGAACCATGACCCAGCACTACCCAGTACGGGGCGAAATTTGCGACCTCGAAACTATTTCAAAATCAAAATTGATCGATAGAAGCCCAAATCTGAACCACGGTGTTGAAATATCAACTCTGAAGGCTATCACTGGCTGCCAAAATCTGCTTCTGAAAACACCCACACATACCTTGGATTCCGCCACCGCTTTCGCTTTCGCCACTTGCTGAGCTTGTACCTGCCGACTAGATTGGAACAACAAAGCGCTCTCCAGCTGTTTCTTCAGAACTGGATGAGACGCCAATACCTGGAAAGGATAGAATCAAAAACAGTACCAGTACTGCGAACTTAACCACTGACCTGTTTGAATTCTACTGGCCACGATGGCGCTACTGCGTTAAGTCGCTGCAGCGCGAACTCATGTATTCGCCGAGCTGGCTGGCTTAACAACCGCCATTCATCTGCCGAACTGGCGCACAGTAACCGGCACAGGGACTGCGTGAGTAGTGAAACAAGCGAGAACTCTGAAACTTGCGCTATTTTTTCGCTGAACATTTCTGACGAACAAAGGGGAGGAGAGCGAATGTAATAACTTCGTATAGCACTGAAAAAGCTCTGCTGCCCTCGAGCTTGGGTATCGTGGACACGGTGATCATCCGCAAAGGAAAGGTCACAAACGGCAGACGAGCGGAAATGGCCGACGTAGCGAGTCGCAGATGCGTGCTGAATATCGCGATTGTCGTCTAAGAGTGAAATTGGAAAGTGCGCTCGAAGTTTACTAATCAAACACTACACAGTTCACCAGCTGACACTCGTCCGCATCGATTCAGTCTGCATCTCCTTCCTCGCTCGCCAATAGACGGGCTTCTGTCGCGGTGATCCCTGCGATGTGTATCCGCCACGCTTAAGCGCTGTTTGCGTTAACTTAAACTCTGTCTGTTCAGCTACGTATTCTTTTTTCCATCGCACTGTCACGAGAACTTCCAACGTCTTGAAAGCGTCTTGGATGACTGGCAACTGGTCTTCGGTGATCTCCTGAAATATGTATTATTGGAACAGCAGCAAGCAACGATGACCTACATGGCACCGGTCAATGCAAAATTTGGTACCGGAATAATTAAATTTTCTGCAGACTACCTAAAAACATCTGAACCACCTTTCACAGCTTTCAATTTAACAGGATATTGAAATGGGACCAGTTTCATTTTGCTAGACAAAGGCATATGACAGGATTCTAAGACTGATTTTTCTGACTTCAATAAGGAAAAAAACTAAGCCACAACCTTTTTACTTTCGGCCACCACATCATCGCCAGATAAGTAACGCGCGGATTCGGATTGAATTGAAAACATCATAGAACCAGAGACCTGGTAAAAGAGCGCACGTTGAATATCAGTCGGGCCACTAATGCGATAAAGGAACTTGCAGTGCGAACATACAAGAACGGTTTTCGAAACAATCTGAATACTCTTCAAATGATATACATGCGCAATGACAGCAGTACCAAATTTACTGACAATGTAAAAATTGAATGGTATTGGAATGTCCAACAAGGACGATGTATTGGAGAAAGTTCCAAAAATTGCAGCTCAGAAACTCAGTGTTATAGAGAAGATCTCGTGAATATGTGTGCTGCAGGATGGAAACAAAGTGAGGAACAATTTCACCAATGGAAGAGGTGCGGGACTATGGAAGCGAAATATGGCCCTTTCGGGACAAGTGCGCTAGATTCAGCGCCTTGGGATGCCAATCCTTCCCATGAAGTTTGCTTCCGCCGCCTGTGCTCCGCCCGAGTGGGGTATTCTTGTTCGTAATCATTTGGATGAGGTTTTCACTTCAAAGTATTGTACAATTTAAATTTTCGATGGTGGTATTCGTTATCCAGGTCTGCGTTCTTTTTAACATGTGCAAGCGACCTCCTAATTGGTTGGTAGCTCGTCCATTATCGGAGGTCAACGGGCAAAGAAAGGGGTCCATTTTGCGCCTTCTCGACGGATTTCTTTGCTTTTTTCGCCACTGGGGCATTATTCAGCATCTCCACTTCCACTGTGAACCCAGCCCAAACTTATTGTAATCCCTTTGTTTCGATATGTCTTAACGATGAGGATGTTCGCTGTGCAATTGTGAACGGATGAGTCGTACAAGGCGATGGAAACTTTCGCGATGGCCGAGCACCACTTGGCGAGGAGCCACTGACGCCAAAACAACACACGACAGCATCAACACACACTCATCTTTGCGATAATCAGCTTAAAATTGGAAATAAATAATTAGGGCATAGAAAAAAGGGGAGGTAGACTCGAACCTAATCATGTACACATACCATCACAAAGCAGCAGAATCGAGTACAACGCGCTTTGCATCATTGTGATCCAGTGAGACAAGGTTGAATCCGTGGGTGGCGCCGATGCCAAGTTGCGCAGGGCCTGAAACAATCTCACTCCTACGAATACAATCTGGACGTTATAGACAACTTGGTCATGTTTACACGAATTGAATGTCAACAAAACGTGGTCGGGCGTAACAGAATGAAATTTCAATAAACAAAATTATTCTGAGCAAAATTTATCAGCGAAGTGGCATACCTGAAGAGCTGTGGTGGCAACTGTCGTCAAATGTCCGGGTGGGAAGATCGGGCACGAAACTGTTTTCATCGACCCGAGCCGATTCGCGAATAAAGCCAATAATGAGGTACAATACGCTTGGCAATATCACTAAACGCCCTTTCGACGAGCACAGTGAAGGAACCTTAAACGGTAAGCATATCAGAAATGAAATGTGATTCCTGCTAAGCTCAGCACAATGATGAAAAAATTTATTGCAGCCGCTGATTTACCAGAGAGAGTAAAAGGGTATCTGACAGGAGGCCCGTCGCGCGGCGCGAAGTCAAGACGCAGACGGGTCAGCGGACGAGTCGCAGCGCGTGCTGTGTGATGTAGGACGTACTATAGTACATTCTATTTAACTTGACGCGAAATCACTACAGTACGCGCTGCGACTCGTCCGCTGACCCGTCTGCGTCTCTGCCTTCTCGCCGCGCGACGGAGCCTCCTGTCAGGTACCCAGAATGACAGCTCTCAATAACATTGCTGAGCAGTTATTCAAAAAATAGAATAAACTACATTGTAGTTTAAGAAAAATCGCTGAATGAATGTGGCAAAGGTTCTACTTTGCCCGACGTAAAAAAAAACTCACATTGACCAACAATTGGATTCCACTTCGAAGCAGGTGGGCACTTTCAGCCGGTAACCGTCCAAAACGCCTCATATGTAACGGTGCCAGCGACCGACTTTTCATTTGGGCCGAGTTGATCTGCGGCATCTGAAATCACTAAAGATAGGATTCATCCAAAAACTCTTCGGGAAATTTTAACGGCCCCCCAGTTTTCCCCGAAGCACCCAATTCCCAGATTCATGAGATGCATCGTCTATCGTATTCTTCAGCTGCAAGATAGCCAGCAAACGAGATTCGCTCTATTGCAAAACTAAAACGTCACAACTTTTGGCCAAAGCTTCACTTTGGAGGTCAATATCTGACCATAAACGATCAATTTCGGTGCCGGCGCCAAAATTCTCTCTATTTGCATAATTTGCATAACGGAAAAATCAGTAAAGAAATTCATGAACAGACTAGCAGTGTGACAATACGAGGAGCTTAAATCTACAAATATCTCTAGAAGAACAAGATAATTAATTGAGAAACTCGGAAGCAAACAGCTTTTAAACTATTGTACTGGTAAATTAGCCGTACCTGTCGCACCATAACGCACAAGCAAAGTTCCACTCATCCCGGAAGTCAGCGTTGCCTTCGAGCGATCATGCAACTCCATTCACACAACCACCCATATAATGTCTTGGGGTCGAGAATCCAAAATCTCGTTGTACTGGGGTATTTCCGTTTCAAGTATCTGAACGAATAACTTTATGGCACTTTGAAGTTCAGGCAACCAATCCATAACGGCACTTCTAAACCAAGCGAACGCGTTGATATTTCCGGGCAATTATTGCGCGATCCTACTGTGAGACGCTATGCCGGCCGGCCCGGAGAGACTTTCAGTAAGATCGGTAACCGCCCAGAAACGCCACTAAACCTCAGCACTTTTTCAGTAGGCCGCTCCAAACGCACAAAAATACTAGCCAAATTCTTAACGGGAAAAAACTTCCCTGACTTGGGCGTTATGCTATCGAGCACCGGTCAACTCCAAATGCATAGCCAATCGACACACTTGTTGATAACCAAATGTCTCTCGCATAAATATCCTTGAAAAAACTTTGGACTTTAATTGTGGGACATCTTCATACACCTCATGATGACTTAGTTCCGAAACGAAGAACCCCAGAGTTCATTCAAATGCATTGCACCAACTTGATCATCCTCTCTAGCTACGAACCGTAATACCTACAGAAATCGAAGCTGTTCACTCACAGACAAGACGCTAGTAGCCTTGTCGATTGCACTGCAGAGAAGATCCCTTTTCAAAACGCAACAGTAAAACGGGATCTCTGCACTTACACATCCCTATATTACGTTAAACGCCATGTAATTCCGACTAGTATTCATGCCACACCGCCCAAAAAGCAACCCTTTATTTACGGTTTTCAGCGGACACTTGGCTATTGATAATTTTATTCCTTGTGTGTCGGGGTCATTAACGAATTTTGTTTATTCGTTTCACTTCAGCCCCACTACATTTTCCGACACAACAAACTTCATAGTGGTATGAACAATTGAAATTTTACAAACTATTCAGTTTACCTAATTTTCTGATGGACTAGCTTAAACGGAAGATCTATTTTAACGAATATGTATGAATGGAAGTCAAGAAACATACCGATGGAGAACATTGCAAAGTTCGATTGGCAATTTGATATCGGACATCAGTTGCAGTTGGCACCACTCACATTGCAGCAAAGATCATAGCTTCGGACGCACCTCGAGCATAACATTGCAGGGCATTCCCAGAATCTCAGACTTTGATGCTTGCTTGAAAAGAACGAACTACCCATGTTCAGAAAAAAAAAGGAGTACTTTGAAGATTCCAAATCACCTGAATGGTATGTCGTCGGCGTATGTTGTCCGACTGCACAAAGCCTCGACTGCAATGCCCATCATCAGATGAAATCTCGATTCCCTGCGATTATCTGGCCATGTTTGAGGTGCCTGAACGACGGATACTACTCCCTACGTCGCCTCTTCCACAATAAAATGGGTATACCTCTGCGTTCTCCGGCAACTCGAAATTGGACTTGCTCAGCAACATAAGCCAGCCACAAAATAGGAGCACTACGGGCGAAGATCTTCGCGGCACACTCACTGAACAAAAAGTAAATATACGCAAGGAAGGGTGCGACACGGTGAGAAACTTCACAAAGTTTCATTCAGAGGCATACTCTCGACTAGGATCATTCTCTCTAGGGCTACGACAAGAGCTATCTACAGGAGTCGAAGATGAGCGATTCAGGACAGGACCGCTCGGGCCTTGTCGCTGGCACTGCTGGAGGTGGGCCTTTTCAAAACGCAACAGCCCACCGGATCTCTGCACCTTAACCATCCTATGTTACGTGTAAACGCGCAGTGTTTCTTCGCCGTAAATTCATGCCACGCCCTAAAAGGAGGCCCTCCTCACGGCTTTCAGCGGCTGGCTATTTTTTCATTCAGTAGCCTCTCAACTTGCACTCTCACTTCAATTTTCGAGCACAACAACTTCATTGAGGTGAATGAAAGATTGAAATTTTTCAAACTATTCAGTTTTTCACGTAGTTTTCTCACAGGATAGTTTAAAAGGAAGATCTATTTTAACGAATGTGTATAAACAGAAGTCAAGGACATACGATGAAGAACATTGCAAAGTTCGATCGGTAATTTGATATCGGACATCAGTTGCAGTTGACACCATTCGCACTGCAGCAGGAGCATCAATACTGCTCGCGGCGACGCGAACTCTAAATAGAGAACAGTTTCAGTCATTACGGGAATCCTGTTTATCAATTATATTGAGCTTTTTTGAGGAGAAGAGAGGAGTACTTTTGAATACTGCTGATCACCTGAATGGTATGGTCGTCGGCGTATGTTGTCCGACTGCACAAGAGCCTCGACTGCAATGCCCATCATCAGATGAAATCTCGATTCCCTGCGATTATCTGGCCATGTTTGGGCGCCTAAACGACGGGAATATCTATACCTACTTCTCTTCTCCCACAAATGTCCATATCTTCGTTCTGCTATTTCTCCGTTCCACTCGAACTTGGACTTGCTCGCCGCACATGGCCAAAAGCAACAAATAGGAGGCCAGCTACTGCGATAGTATTCGCGACACTCCTGGAAAAAGATTATCTATAGGATTACATGACAGATGAATTTTTGCGAACTGCAAGTTCTAACAATGAAACCCAGAAAAGAATCAGGTGACGATTGTAATGCTTAGAGGCAGTTGCCAATAATTTCTTTTGAAAAATTACCTCTGCACTTTCTGCCTTGTAGAAGGCGCCTCCCGAAGACGGCATCTGATCAGAAAACTGCGCTGGAAGTGAAAGCAGAGCAGAATCCCTGAGAGCGGCTAGCCAGTAGCAGACAAGGGAGTCGAGTTCGGGACGGACCAGCGACAATAAGCTCTCAGAAGCGCCCAGTACATTGATGTCCTCATCATCTGCAAAAAAAGACCTATAGGGTGAACGTTACCAAACAAAAATATGACGCTACCACAATATAGGGGGACATCCTCAAGCACTAAGCCTAGGAGGCATCAGGAACTCCGGAGAAAAACGAAAATGGCTCATGCACCTTGGAGTCTCTTCTCCCCCGTCGAAGGCCGTTTTTACCAAAAAAGGATGTTTCAGCGGTTTCAACTGCATTGCCATGACAATGCCCCCGCATACTGCGATAGCGTCAAAAATATTTGCAAAACTTCCCACTGACGGGAATACTGAACATCACAGAGACAATAAGATTACCCAAAAAAATTCAATGATAAAACGAGATTTCAATGTCTGGGGAAACTCACCGCCTGTTTCCTTTCGATTTTCGTTGGTCTCTGTTTCTTGGGCAATAGCCGTCACGTACACCTCCGCCCATGCCTTCAGAATCGACAACTTCTCCAGTGTTGCAGCACTTTCGCTGTACAGTTGAGTGTTGATCGAACCGTGCTTGAGCTTTCCCAAGGAAGACACCAACAGCTAAAAGAGTCGATGTAGCTACCACAAATACAACACATTTCGGCGCTATCGCAAGGTATGGGGCATCCTCTGAGACGAAGCTCAGAAGGGACAGAAACTTCATGAGAATTGGGATGTGCTCACGCACTATAAAGTTTCTCCTCCTCCGCCTAAGAATAAGTCCGGATTCCTATAGGAAGGAGAGGTTTCATGCAACTCCAAATGCACTGCTATTAATATGCCCCGTATCTTGCGATAGCGCCCACATTCCTCCTAGAATGATATAATGGGCCTCTAGTACAGATCAGCCAATTATAACTACAAAAAAACTGCGCCACTGTTGA